ACTTGCTACACCCTATAGTAATGAACGAGTTAGTATGGCAAAACCATCCAAGGCACTCCAGAAGTGAAAGGAGTACTCCCTATCCTTAATTAAAAACAAAATAGCCACACTACACAAGGCAATATTACCCACGCCAGATACCTAATTCAACAGATTGCAAAGAAGAATGCATCTCAATGCACCGAACAACTCCAAAACTGATGCCTTCTCTATAGATTTGGAAAACGAAGGGACCAAACTAGATTTTCGTAGGTAAGAGGTTAGACTTAGGAGAAATGTTACATACTCTACTTCAGAACGACGATAGTTCTTTAGTCCACATCCAACAATGGCTAAAATTGAAAGTGCCTGTTAAAAGGTGTCATGTTCCAAATCGTAAGTCGTTTTATTAGTGCAGAGCTTTTATCACACATCTAAATATCCGGACATTCGGACGGACGCTCGCGACTGCACTCCGTCTCCCCCCGCGCACCTGCATCCCGCGCCCGTCTACGCGGGACCCGTGCCGCCGGACTGCACGTGGGGAGTCCCCGCTCGCGCCCCCTCCGCTTCTCACGCGCATGCGCGCGGCCAACAGCTGCAACATGTGACTACAACAGGTGGTTACATCAGCATCTAGAAGAGGGCGTGCCCAGCTGGCACCAAAAGGAGGAGGAGACACCAAGGCAAAGGTGAGGCAGCAGAAAAGCAAAGACAGAGATGCAACATTTGATCTACTTTTAAAACATCCGGATACAATGCTTACAACATATGTCTGAAGGCAGATGAAACACATGAAACATGCATCTAAAACGCTAGATGCTACACCAGATCTAGTTTTGAAATATACAGATGAAACACTTGCAACATACGTATGAAACCGCTGAAACACTCGAAACATGCGTATGAAACACTTGCAAAAAACACCTAAAACATTTCATATGTGTGAAAACATATGCAAGGAAAACAAGATGAAACATTAGGAACATTCACTTGAAACATACGTGTATAGCCACTACAACATGTGCAACATTCCAATCTACTCTTACAACATCAAGATGAAACGCTTGCAACATCCATATGAAACATCTGAAACACTTGAAACATACTCTTGCAACATGAGTTTTGCTTGGACGAATGGAGGCACGCCGGTGTGGAGGTTGACGGCGGCGCATGGACCTCGTTGTGCGGCAGCGGCACGGCCAACTCGTCGGCGGGCGTGGCGTCACACGAATCTCATCCCCCTCGCTTGCTTGCTGGAGCATATGTCATGGAGGCTCGTCGGCTCTGTGGATGCGGTCGCGGCGAGTAGGCCGGCTGTGGCGAGGAGGCAGCATGGTGGAGGCGAGCGAGGCAGACTGGGCCCGGTGGAGAATGCAGCACGGAGGAGGCAACACGGAGAGGCAGCACTGAGGAGGCCGCAGGGGATGGGGCGCGGCGCTGCGGGGGACCGGCGGCGGCGAGGTGGAGTGGGGTGGACGGATAGGCACGACGACACAGGGAGGAAACGACGCAATGAGCAGGGGGCGTGCGGACGAGACGATCAGATAGGGTCGCTGGGCGAGTGGCGCGTGCGAAAGTGAGCGGAGGGAGGCGTTCGTCCGTCTGAACGTCTTAATTATATCATTATCGTATCTTCAAAAGCCAAAATAACAATTCTGAACATATCTTACCATGTATTGTTCCAAATTGTAGGCCACTTGTTCTAAAACCCTCTAATGTGATTAAATTATATGAAAAATGAACCAACATCTTTACGACATCAAATTAGTTTCATTAAATTAAAATATAAATATGTATTCATTGTAGATTTATTTGGGATTGCAGATGTTAATATCTTTGTTTAGGAAACTTAGTAAAAGTTAGAAAAAATTACAATTTGAAAGGGATGAACTGTTTTTATTAAAAGGTGAATCAAGAAGACAAGTCATGCAAATCTAGGCTTGCCAAAATCACAAAGACACACTTAAAAGAACAGAGAAAAGATTTACAAGAAACAAACTCGACAACAGACTGGTAGGAACAAAAAGCTTCACTGGCTAATTATAACACAGCTCCTAGGAACTGAAGATGACGATTTGCTGGTAGGATCCTCTGCAAACCCTCCAACTGAATCCTGCACAGTGGACACCAGCGCAACGGGCATGGCCGCACAACGATAAGTCGAAGACACGCTCGTTACGTTCTTTCCGTAACATCAAGCAGCGCAAAAGCATTCAGAGTCTCCTACACGCAGACAAAGTATGGACTATTGGACTCTCGTACACCATCGCAACTAGTATAGCCCCTCCATTGTTCTCACGGCCACCAAACTACCACTCCTCATGGTCCTGTGACAACATCAGTCCTACGTTGGTCGGCTGGAGAGCAAAGATAGACACGCAGCTGGCTCGAGGGTCTTTTATTCTGCGGCCACCGGGCGGAGCAGCAAGAGGCACCCGGACCAACTGGCCAAACTCACTTTTGCTAATCTTGTCAGCCACCGTAGGCCTAGAGATTAGGTCCTGCTAGCTTGGGCCAAACCAGAAAGGCACATAATCAGATGCTTTTGCCTCCATTTCGCTCCTCGCGACAAACGCTGCAAGGCAGAAGTAGGTTGATTTCCATCAATTGGAACTGGGTTGGCAATTGTATGAGGATAAATAATCCTGATGCCTCTCGTTCTCACATTTGGTAAAGTTCCTGATATGATGTGGATAGAATAATGTAACTAAGGGCTAGTTTGGATACCGGTACATCTCTATGTTTGGATGAAGATAGACGGATGATGGCAACATTCACGTACAATTTAGAATGCTAAACAATTTTATTAAAATTAAAAGAGAAGCAAAGAAGACAACAATTCATAGCAAGCCTAGAATTGCCAAAAAAAACATAAAAGAACATAGAAAAGGTTTACACGAAATAAACTTCACGACATACTAGTATCAGTAGGAACCAAAAGCTTCAGTGGCAAATAAACAGAGCCGCCGGCGACTGAAGATGGTGATTTGCTTGTAGGATCCACTGGTTTTGGTCCTTCCATAACATCAAGTAATAATAACACAAAAGCATGGAGAGTCGTTATTGCACCTAACGCCGATTCAGTTTCAGTCTCCTACAGACAAATCATGGAGAGGCACTCTTGCACAACAAACTCACTCTCGGACACCATGCATCATTACATGTTTTTAGACAAACTATCCTACTATTAGACCTACGTGGCTATACCACGACTAGTTCCGAACTCCGGAATCTGGAGCAGCAACTTAAGGAAGCGTCAACAGGAGGTCAGAACCCAACGCAAAGCGGCTGATCGATCGGTCTGCCCATGTTTACTCACGGACGTCGTGTCGTATCTATTATCTGCAACAGTTCCTTTTGTGGAAGGAGATTTGTTTCCCGTGGTTGGAGGATAAATCCTGATGCCTCTCATTCTCAAGTTTCTGATGTGGAGTGGACATGAATAATGTAACCAATGCTAGGGCTAGTTTAGATACCGATAGATCTCTACCTTTGGATGAAGATCACTAGAGTGAAAGAGAAAGATGATGGCAACATTCAGGTTTGGTCCCTAAACTTCACCTTCTATACTTTCCGGTTTCCTAAAATCTTGCCTATGCATCCTGCTTCCATTGTCTCCATGCTCCATATGCTCCTTATAAAGAACTGGAGAACCTAGATAAGGTGCACTTTGGACAAGGGACCGGTCGAGTAGGAGACATGTGAGTTACGGTGGAAGATCGCCTTTACTGACAGGTGATTGCGCATTCAGTGTCTGGCTACTTGATACTAGTTGATACTGCCTATAAAGTAATAATGAACAAGAGTATGTCCGGAAGTGGAGGGGTACTCACTATCCCTAGCTACAAATAAAACTTAGGGGGAGAGAAATTCTGGTATAGGTATAGATATAGTCCGACATTGTATTCATTTAGTACCGTAGATGTTAATAATATATTTTTTAAATACACAAGAGAACTATGTATCTTTGTATTAAGGTAGGATCAAAGGAAATACACAACGCGTCTGGTGAACCAGCGCTAGATCAGCAGTTAGCCCAAGAGGGTCGCTGCGAAAACTCAGGTGCTAATACAACGCTTTAAGAGAGTAAGAGACCTATATTACACACAGACGCGAAACTACCAATACCAAGTCCGTGAGCTACTGAGCTCCCGCTCTGGCCCATTGCTCTGCCCCATGTCTGATCAGTTGCACCTTTGTTTGCACGTCTGTCTGTGCTCCCCTGAAGGCTGAAGCAGCGGCGTTCCGCTCCTTCCACGCTCGCCATGATACGAGAGCAAACGAACTGTCCTGTCCATTCTGTGGCGATGCTGTCCGGACCAAGTGACTAAGTGACACGAACCGTTCCCACCATTGGCATTGGCAGACAGAATGATAGCCCGCCGTCACCATTGGCAAAGGCGAGTTGTGCGCGCTTTGAACTCTCTCTACCAGACTTGTCTCGTGTAGCTGCAGCTGATGACTAGATGGCCGATTGCTTGTGCCTCTTGGTTACACAGATGGCAAAGGGCTCTGGCTTCAAGTCCAAGTCTATGGCGTTCCCGTCAGTCTGCAGTCCAAAGCCTTCGGCCAAAGGCGAGCCAAAGGAAAATCTTACCTTAACCCGTAGAACAGAACTAAATCAATCTGCATTTTGGAATGGACGAGGTAGAAAACAGCCACTTCACACGAAGCGAAAATTGTTCGTCTAGTTACCTTACTTCAACTGGGTATCAAATTGCAACGAAGAATGTATGCCAGAGTTCCTTCAAAAAAAAAGTATGCCAGAGCGCTCAATGACTCCAAAACTACTTGCTTCTCTCTCGTTCCGCGGAAAAACCGAGGACCAAATTAAACTATCAAAGTATTCACAGGAGCAGACCTAGGAATCTTTTGAACGAAGTTGCTGTCAAGACACAGGTTAGAATCAGCCTGCCGGTTAAAGAAGAAATCCCATGCCGAGATTCCACTGCCACCGCGGCACCGCTAAGGCGCCAACACAACCGCATGCCTTCCGATCCCGTCACGGCGGTCACCTGTCAGCTGGTCGGGTGCACGACGGCCGCATCCTCGTTGATCCTCTGCAGCGGCGTGGCCCCGCGCCTCTTGACAGGCGGCGCGCTGCTGGCGGCGTCCTCCTTATTCCCGCCGCTTCCAACAGAGGCCGCCGCGGCGCGCCGGGCCTGCATGACGCGCACGAGGTCCCGCAGGTCCTCCTCGGAGTGCCGGCTGCCGACGCCGCCGAAGACCCACGACGTCGGCCGGCCCATGCCGGCCCTCCTGGGACTCGCCGCCGCGAGCAGCCTGTCGAGGCCCCTGAGCCCGCGGACGTAGAGGTCGCGGGCGCCGCGCAGCGCGCGCATGGCCGCGCTCGGCTTGCGGCCGCTGCCGCTGCCGCGGGGGCGGGGGCGGGGCTCGCCCATGCCCACGCACACGCACACGCACGGACGGCGGCAGAGAGAAGGTTGGATGATGGATATGGCACGATGACCGATCGGAGCTCCGAATCGTCGACGACGGGTTGCAGGCGTTGCTCTGGATTGCACATGTAGTTTGTTTATATCACCATGAGAGCTGAGGACATTGAAATGAAGGTGTGGATGCGCACGCAAGTGGCGCGAATTATATTGGGGCTTTGTCATCATCTTTGAAGTTTTTTTAGATATGTTTTTATAAGGACGACGTCTTTAGGTGTTGTATGGTTTGTTAGTTTATGAACTTATGATGAGGCTGGAGGGAGGAATGTTCGACAATCACAACACGGAGAATGGGAGAGAGTATATAATAATAGAGCCTTTTACATGGCCTACATGCCACTGAAAAGTTCAAACGCATCCCTGATGTCATAACGCTAAACTTTGTTGCCATTTCGTCCACTTTTACCTCTAACGATGTCAAACAGACAGATAAAATGACCATGTTACCCTACAGGGGGCCCGTTTGTCAGCCACCCAAACCTTCATCTTTTTTATTCTCTTTCGTGTAGCAGCGCCGCCCCCGCCAAATCGATGGCGCCCGAGAGCCCGACGCAGTGCTGGGGGCATCCCCGGCCAACGCGACCAGCGCCACCATTGCTACCAACGCGGCGGCGAGCTTAGCTCGCCGCCCATTGCCGTGGGCGAAGCTTTTTCGCCGCGCGCGAAGCGATCTCTCCGGCCCGGCGCACGGCGGCGAAGCTGCTGCCGTCACGCGACCGCTCCTGCAGCTTGACGAGGCCCTTGAGCGCCGTTCTGGAAGGTGGGCAAGCTAGATGCAGGCGATGTTGCCGTCTGGGCCTTGACCGCGGCCGCACACGACGTCGCCGTCTGGGCCTGGGCGTCATCCACAACCTGGGTTTTATCCATGGTGGCGACGAGCTCCCCTGCGCGGCAAGTGTGGCACCCGCCACCCGCGTCCGTGACGCCGCCACCTGCGCAAGTGGACGCCCCGCCGTGCTCTGGAAGCCACCGCGAGCACCGGTCGAGCCCATGTCTGCCCTGCGTTGCGATGCTCGGCTATAAAAGCCAGAACGCGTCCGCCATGGCCACCCTCTGCATCTTTCAAAATTCACCACGAGCGAGCCTTCTCGTTTCGACTCGTTGTAGCAATGAGTGATTAAGGTTGAAAGCTAGCTCTTGGAAGCAATCCCGTCGAGAACGATCAAAGGTAGGGGCTGTATTGGCTGATCCCGTCGCCGCTGTCCGCCATGGCCGCAAAGGCAAGAATGTGCGTGGCCAGATTTTTCCATGCCTCTCTTGGTCATCGTCTCAGTATCCCAGACGCAGGAGGTGGATCCACCGACGGAGGCGGCGCATGGCCGCGCCAGCCACGGCACCCGCGCGCATGGCTGTGCCCTACCCCGTCGTCCTTCGCGTAGCCGCGCCCTACCCCTCCGGCCACACCGCCCACGCGCACGGCGTTCAGCGAGGCGCGGTGGGCCTCGAGGCGGCGCGCAGCCGGCCTCTAGGCGCAGCGCGGCCGTCCTCTAGGACGCGGCGTGGCCGACCCCCAGGCGCGGCGTGGCCGGACCTCAGGCGCGGCTCGTGGCCAGCTCGGGGGCAGCGTGCGGCCATCGTCCCGCAGGGCGCGACGCGGTTCTCGGCCGGCCCCGAGAATGGTGAGCACGCACTCGTGGTGGCACCGGAGCACCCGACGCGAGATGCAAGCAAGGCGGGCGTCTGAGGACAGGGCTCGTGCTAGCGACTGGCGCGCGGTCAGGGGTGGGCTCAGACGGCGAGCGCCTCCGGTTCGGCGGTGTGAGCGAGGGCGAGGAGACGGACATGGAGACCGACCCATCCTTGGAGCCATCCCCGTCCCCGTCGTCGTCCCATGCTCCTTCCGCGTCGGCTAAAGCAGCGGACGCCAGGCTTCAGCTCGTGCTGCTCGTCTTAAGGAGGAAGAAGGTGACAGCTTGGCCCCACCCAGCGAAGAGAGAAAGAGGTAGAGGATGAGGTTATGAGATAAGGGCATTTTAGACGTTTTCACTGGCTGGACCCACGTGTCAGGTCTGGCAAACGGCAAAAACCAGACGAAAGTGGACGGAGTGGCTTGTGAGGCAAAAAAAAAAAGTGTCTTAGCACTAGGATGCATTTGAAATTTTTTAGTGACCTATAGGCTTGGAGCATATTTTATAATGACACATAGGGAAAAGAATCATAATAATAGACTCTAACCAACTGGCTAGAGCTGCCGAGTTATACCCAGAGACACGTGTTCGAGTCCCAGAGCTAGCGGATTTGTGTTTCCTGGACAAGTATTTCCGTTCAAAATGAATGCTAACGGGACGTCGACAGCCAGGGATTCAACTAGTAATAGTGTACGTAGTATCTTAAAAAGAAGAGAAGAGCAATCGATGACTTTTTGTACTTTGTGCCCCATTTCTCAATTAGGGGCCCCAAAAAATTTTATACAGTATTTATCATATCAAATCTTGCGCATAGCATGTATAGAGTACTAAATGTAGACCGAAAAAAATTAATTACATAGTTGGATGAGAAATCGCGAGACGAAACTTTCGAACCTAATTAGTCATAATTAGACACTAGTTGCCAAATACAAACGAAAGTACTACAGTAGCCAAAAGCCAAAATTTTTTGCATCTAAACGCGCCCTTATTCGATTAGAAGGAAATTAGAACTTCTGAGCGCTGTTTGTCAACATTTCACCTGCAGCGGATACACTCCCTTGAAAAATAGGCAGGCGGCGACTTTTTCTTCCAACACTACGTGCGGCTTCGGACCGGCGACTGGGGAAATTAGTGCAAGTTCACTATTCACCACGCGTTAAGCCAAAGAACTTTGTGATGCAAGGCTCTATCTAGCTCGTCAATCTCTATGGTTAGTGGCCGAAGGATTTCCTCCACCCGGTAATCAGACGGCAAATAAAAGCCGCCACGCGTCGGCGTTCAAAGGGTGGTAGCATGACATGGCGCTGAGGTGCGTGTCTGGCCGCTGAGGCGCCGACGGCCGGGCTGACCCAGGAGTTGGCGAGCCTGCACGCCGCTGCGTAGTCAGCACTTAACACGGACGGGAAGGGAGGGGAGTGGCTGTACCAGCTGCTCATCCTTCTGTTTAGGCGAAGGAGACTGAAAACGAGGTTAATTTCAGTGGATCGGATTGCAGTCCAAATATAATCCTGGACCCTTTATGCTGTCCTTTATGACGTCCAGTAATTAGCTTGAGAATTAGCTCTCCCTACGTAATCCATTGCTTTTTACTGTTGAGCTCTTGGCCTCCCGCTGAATGTACCAGCGCCACTGCTCGTTTTTCTCAATGCTTTGCTTGCCACTAGATCCATGCATGGCCGCTGCCTATATTGCAACTTGCAACTTGCAAGATAGATGAGCTGCTGCCTGGCGGTGTCATTTCATTTCGCCCAGCATCACGCAATGGTGTACAGTATTAGGGAGGGATAGGGAGTGTCTGATTGTAATCAGCGTTTGGGCTGAATCTAGCAGGCCTAGTGTTTATATATATACGGAGAGTATATTTAGTAGCCAGCTATAAAATAAGTTATTCTGTAGCCACCTCTATTTACGATAATTTTATATACTAATTTATGATAATATCAATACATATTTACGATAGTTGTGTTACTATAACACATGGGGATATTTACCATAACGTTATAGTAAATCACTTAGTAAGGAGTTACTATAATCTCGTAAATTAATATAGTAATTATCGTAACTCTAAGTGGCTACAGAATAAGTTATTTTATAGTCAGCTACAGGGTATAGTTCTCTCTCTATATATTGAGGAAAAGTAGGCCTAGTTGTTGGGCTCTGCAGTGCGTTGGGTTTGAACTGTTCCGCCTATTGGCTTTAAGGTGGGCTTGGCCCAGTATTTCCAAAATAAAAAACGTAATCGTGGACCCGTCTCTGTACAAGTCTAGGTCGGCTAACTGGATCTCCTTCTTCACAGTTCCTCCGTTCCGTGTTCGTGGTGTTGTTGTTTTGGGTTATGGGGTTTTACACCCCTTTATTTCTTCATGTACGTAGCTCTCTTGCGTGTTTGAAAAAAAGTTCCTCTATTTCGTGTTTGAGTCGTTTCTCCTTCCCGATTCGACACTAATGCTCCCGTGAGGGCGTCTCGATGGACGAACGCAGCTTCCCCACTCCGCGCTCCACAGCACAGCTCGCTGCATCGCGGCATCCACCCGCCACGGCCGCCTCCACCGCGTTGCTCGCACGCCGCGACCGCCTCCACCGAAACCGGTCGACGGAGGAGCTTCGTGTGACGCTGTCTCGCCGGTGAGTTGCCCACGCTGCTGTCGCACTAGCGAGCTCCATGCGCTGCCATCGAGCTTTGGAACGACGAGCCTCTATTTCTCCAAGCTGTAAGGTGACAATGTGCTACGTATGTTTCAAGTGTTTCATTTGAATGTTGCATGTGTTTTTATCTGGATGTTGTAAAAGTAGATCGGCATGTTGCACACGCTGCAATAGTTATACACGTATGTTGCAAGTGTATGTTCCAAATGTTTTCGGTTGTTTTTAAACGTATGTTGCAAGTGTATATTTTCTAAAGAGTTAAATGCATCGTAGGTCTATTAACTTTTGTGGTGTGTCATCTAGGTTCATCAACTTTCAAACTGCATTTTTGGGTCCATTAACTTTTGGTGGTGTGTCATCAATGTCCATCAACTTTTAAACTGTATTTTTTGGTCCATTAACTTTTGGTAGTGTGTCATCTAGGTCCATCAACTTTTAAATTATATTTTTGAGTCCCTAAACTTTTTAGCTGGTTCACCGTAGGTCCATACCCCTTCGTTTAGAGAAAATAAATCTGACATAGCACGCCAAATAAGCAGCCACCGTGGAGTAGGTGATGAGTCCACAGCTCCTTAAGATGTTCATGTAGACTTGTCTAGCAATAATTCAAATGTAGCAGCTGGTAATTCGTTAATATCATCTGATCTTAAATTTGGGACTATTATTTTTAAG